ATATGTTACGATATTATACACTTTTTTCCACGCATGCACGTGCATGTCGTTAAAAAGAAATAATTTTGAATTAAAGAGCCAAAAAATGTGTGTATACCGACAACCGGGGTCTTACTGTTTTCTCGCGAAGTTGAAATTATTTTTGAATAGTCAGTTGCTTAAAGTTTGACATTTGATAGAGAAATCATATAAATTATGAAACTTTGCACAAATTAACCGGTATAAGCAACATAGATGATTAAACATAACATAAATGACAAAAATTCAGTTTGAAAGCGAAAGGCAACTATAATAAAATACAACTTATAGGTACTTAAGAGACTTATTTTAAAGGACCACTATACCAACTTATGATCTAGGTAACAAGATAGAAATTAATCACCACAGCTAAAAAGAGCACACCGAAATTATTATACTGCCAAGTTTGGAATTACAGTGGCGTAGGAAGGGGGACACTGGGGGCACGTGCCCCCCCAAGATTTTTCAAGGGACCAAAAGTGCCCTTTATGTGAAAAAAAATGCCTTTTTGGGAAGCGAAAAGAAACAAAAAAGTATCTACTATTTCCCAATAATCCTTAAATTGAGAGGGATTTGCGCCCATTTCAGAGGCCTATATCTCAAAATTTTCTCGGGGGAGCATGCCTTCGGACCCCCTAGCAGTACGAAGCCCAAGAAATACGAAAAATGCTCTCCGGTCGGCGGTCCCTGAATCAAACCGTCCCCTATATATATATTTTTACTTACCATTTAACCGTCATTTTTATTAACCAAAAGTGCCCCTAGAAGCTGGTGCCCCCCAACCTCTGGATGCTTCCTACGCCCTTGTTTGGAAAATGTAGCTATGCGAAGTAGGCGATTTTTGTATATTTTTTTATTACAAGCGGAAGTGCATGTGTAACTAAATTAATTACAAACTTCCGGCCATAATTAAACAAAAGTATTTAAAATATTAATTTGCCAGCTTCGCTTGGCTATATTTTCGGTATTTAGCAGCCAAACATCGCAATCGTACTAAGTTTTGTATGCCCTTTTCAGAAATTCCCTTCTTGTTACCCAAATCAAAACTTTGTCCATTATGCAAGTGGTCCATTAATGAGACATTCATTTTTTAGATCGCGTCCATAGCAATAATAGACTGGCAACCTAGTGTATTAAACAATCATTTATCATATTCGATGGCTTTATTGATCCATAAAAGCGTTTACGATCGGTTTGTCTACGGTGCAAGTTTTAAAGAATGCTGAATGATACAGAAACAACATGTTGGTTCCGTTGGATCCCCTCTCAAAGTTACGATATCATCCCTCGCTTTGGAATAGTACTAACTGGACTACTAGTGAATGCTCTACTTCTCGCCGAGATAATGATAGATCCCTTGAAGTGTTTTAAAAATTGTGCGTCCTACTTGATCGTAAACCTTTCGATCAGCGACATTTTAACATGTGCATCGGGGATTTTGATTCAGTATTGGCGACCATGCACCAAAGAATTTGAGCTCTACCGATTGATGTATTTACCACCGTATGTTTCTTCGATGTCTATTCTCGCGATGGCTTTCGACCGCTATATGAGCAGTGTCCATCCAATGAAATACCGGGTTCTAATCACCAGAAAAGTTACAGTTTTCATAATTTTTCTACAATGGCTAATTTCCATTGCACTTTTGTCATTGGAAATTTTGTTCGCGACCGCGTTTTGGGTGACCTATTTAAGGTCTATTATCGGTTTCATTACAGTTCTTACGGCAGCAATAATGTATAGCAGGGCGGCACATGTTTTAAAAAAGAATTCAGAGCATTTGAAACGTTTATCCGGCGTCTCATCGACAACTAATGCAGAAAAGAAACACGTTCGCTTAGTGAATCAAAAACGGTTGACGGCAACCATGTTCTTAGTCTCTCTGCTTACAATAATCACATTGGCTCCGAATATAATCTACGAATCAATCATGGGCGAAGGTTACATTATTATAGACGAACATTCGGATATCCAAGAAAGTGAGCTCGTAAAAGATCCTTACCACGTATGGCTCATTACATTAACTTACGTTAACTTTTCGGTCAACCCGTTTATGTATGCCTGGCGCCTAAAAAATTACAGAAAAACGTTAATAAAACTTTTTAGAAGCTTCAAGCTTTACCCAGCGGGAACTGAATAAACGTGATCAAGGGCAATTGCTTTTCGATGTTTGCTGCTGTGAAATCATGCAAGTGCATGTAATAATTTTATGTAACAAATATAGAGTGTTCAGTCAAACAGCACATGAATTCAAAACATGCAGCTGCGTGATGATCAACTAAGATGTCTGATAATTCTAACGTCTGTTTTCCACTATTGGCAGATTTTTGCGCGCGGAGCAAACTTGAGATTTAAATCAGAATTTTTTCTCCCGAAGTTTTCACTTGTATACCAACTTATGTGTTTCGATAATTATGCCTATGTTATCAGCCATGAAAGTGAAATTATTACATTTACAAAAGTAACTGAATATACTTAGCTATACTCTTTAGGCAGAAATGCTAATAAGACTACATGCACCTGCTGTTGACGTTATTTTTCGCGCTAAATATTACTTCTGTGTGCACATTAGAAACGGTTTTATATATTTAGCACACATGTAATAGTTTTTAACATATCCTAGTAGTCTATACCATATATGTATATTTATGAGTATATATATATATACTGAACTGAACACTCATTTGAAAATTCTAGAGGTTTGAAGGGTCTTAATTTCCAGTGGAATCATACACACTTCAAATTCAAGCCAGGAACAGTTGAGGAAAAAATGAGTCTAAAAACTATAGGTCCTCCGGCAGGAATCGAACCTACGGCTACGCTTTTGCGATGCCGATGCAAATGCAATGCCCGAAATTAAGACCTGTAAGTTAAACCTCTAGAATTTACATATATCTACTGAAGTGCCAAAATATAATCGATTTACGCTCATTTGAAAAGTCTATAAACACAACATAGTAAAAAAGATAGCGTGTTTCGATATTGTCTGCATGTTTATTGGATTTATCCAGTTTGGTGTAAATAATTCTAAAAACGAACTGCTAGACAAAAACTATATAGAAATTTGCTAAAATAAAATATAAAAAATGGACAATTTTTATTGTACTACGGCTGCTTTCTACTTGCACGTTTTTTTAGTTCAAAATTGAATTATTTAACACATGATCATAGGTTAACAAATTAATCCATCTACAAATTAGCTATCTTGCTAGGAGTTGCTTGTTGCGTGATATTTGTCAATTGTCATTACGTAGGCAGTCCATGTATAAATATATACATGCATGTCAATGCGTGTGACCTATTTCACTAGTCTAATGTTTTCGCATTCGCGGGTATGAAAATTCGTTTAAAAACATTAATTAATTCATATCAATTAAAGGCCATTAGTTGGAAAATTTGAGTATACAAAACAATCTCTAGTTAGACTTCTGATTATATACGTATTTTGTATATATATGCATGCACTTGCGTATCGAATATTTTTAGTCTTACGTCCGCATTTTCCCTTTGAACTTATTAAGTGTCATTTGAACTCATTTGAATTTGAATCATTTGAACTCAGAGAAAAATCATAACCAATCCTTCTTTCATGAGATAATATCGAGGAGTGACCCTGCATTCTTAACTATAAAAAATCGATAATTTAAGAGCATTGACATCTCGTATGATACATCAGTCAACATGAAACTAAATGTAAAGCTATAGGGATTCTCCTTCTAATCCAGGGAAAAACAAGTAAAAAATGACAAGTAACTTTTTTTGCTAAAAAGCTCTATTTCCGTTATCTTATCGTATATTCATCATCAGTTCTATCATATATTTACATAATTTTGTACAAATCATCAAATGAAAATCTCAGAGGTACATGAATTTTAGAAAAGGCTTCTTGTTTAAGACGTTTCTTCGTCACCAAACCAGTGAAATCTAATAAAACTGGAACGATAACTTCATAATAGTCCAGTCAGTGAATAAAGCCGATTTGAATATAATTTACTGATGTGGTGGGACCCGAGCAAGCCAAACACGCCTTCGAAAGAACTGCGGAGATAATCGAGAAGTGAGAAATTCGGTAAGAACGAATGAACATTTCCACGTTCACGAAACCTGTTTTTTATTGAAATGTTGGTTGTTTTAAGTGTCTATTCTTGCTCCGACGAGATGGGTTTGTGTATAAAAACCGGCGTCGTTGTTTTCGTGGTGTAATTTCCGGCCTTCATGGCAGCCTTCAATTTCTCTTCAAATATGGCGGCCAAAGTTGCCGTGCATGCTAAACTTTTTATAAGAGTTCACTGCCAGTGGCGTAGCCAGCCGGCCTGACGATTTTGTAAATTCCCTCTTTGTAAATTTCGAGTTATTATAATTATTCATGTCTTTGAGAAATTTATTGTTTTTGCAGTCAATGAACAACAGAATATTAGCATAGCGCGACAAATCAGGCTGGTTATACGCACTGCACCTACTCGAAGTCAGAAATACAAATTACGCATGCACTTTTCGAATCAACGTGACAATCAAAGATTACTAAAGGAATTAAACTAAAGGTAAAGGAACTAAAAGTAAGTTGCGCTTGAAAATGTTCATAATTATGTCACACACGTCTCTTTCATCTTTAAAATGGTAAAAAAGCTGGAAAACTATATTCAGACAAAATAAAAGTAAAAGTATAAAAAATATCATTACAACAGGACGAAAGAATCGCAGGGGAAGGCTACATTAGCTATTATAGGTACAGTACTGTCCGGAAATAACCTAACACTGCGGTTGCGGTTCGGCAGGGGTTAGGTTGCGGTTCGGCTGGGGTTAGGTTGCGGTTCGGCTGGGGTTAGGTTGCCGTTCGGTCGCGGTTCGGTTGCCGTTCGGTCGCGGTTCGGTTGCGGTCGACTGATAGAAACCGGAGATGACCGCAAGGGGAAGAATACGATCGCGGTTGCCGTTCGCTTCCAAATGGAATATTATGAACAGCTCAGAACGACAACACACAACAATCATATCGAAAACATCATCAGACTGAGTTAGGCCGAGGTTAAACCTCCGTCTCACCGCGGTTCGATCTTGGTCTGACCTCGGTTCAACCGCGATCAGACCGAGGTTTGACCTAGGTTAACCGCTGTTTTTGTTAGGTTATTTCTGAACAGTACTGTATATATGCATGAAATTAACTTAGGGATTTGATTATTTGGAGTAGATTTTTAACTATCTCAGAGGTACATACAATATAAGAAAAGAAGAAATGGTTCCTTGTTTAACAAGTTTCTCATCCCTAAACCTCTTCGTCACCAAACTCACTGTCAGGAGCACGAACTATACGTGCAGTTTTTAACTCAACTTGACGATCTACGTCTGCAAAGAGGCGATTACTAAACGCAAGTGGCGCTGGTTCGAAATTATGGCACACTTCTTCTTCGTCTTTGGCACCGGGATTACTAAACACGGTCATTCCACACTGTGATGCTGTTGTCGCAGGTTTGTCGCAACGAGAGGGCAGATCAAAACACGCGGGTTCGTATGTTGGATTGACTGCAGCCTCTCTTCGAAGATCGAAGTCATCCGCATCTGAGTAGATAGGGTTTTTCCAAGAGGTGCTTCCTTCCGTTGACTTGGTCTCGTTTTCGACTTTTTCTGTAACTTCTCCGTTCATTTTGCTTTTCTCTTTGCGCCTTCGGTAGACGAAGAATACCAGAAATCCTGAGAAAAATATAAATGTTTCAAGATAAACAGCGGTGAATATTTATACGAGCTTAGTAGATTAAGTGCGTTTAAAAATAGACCTTTTGCATTATAGAATGCTTTTTTATCAACGCGTGAAAATGGAATCACTTCACCAAAGCTGAAAAGAGCGCAGTAAAATTGAACTACAAAATTTCGTGCGGAATGTTGTAAAATGAGGAAACATAGCCCAAAAAAGTGTGTCAAAAAAGTACACTCTATTGAAATCACTTTTTTGTTGTTAAGGGTACATGCTCGCGCGTGCAAGAATACCAGGAATTAGCGATAGTTACGTAACGTATTTTACCTATAATAATTAAAACGACTACGCCGACGACAATCCCGGCGATCAAAGAACCATTTACACCTCCATTATCTGTTTGCAGTTCTTCTTTTGTCAATGAAACGTTTGTCTTGTCGGTTGAAACTATAACCGTCTGTTCGTCTGTTATGCTCTCTGTAGTCTTGCTCTCTGCGGTGGGTTTATCTTTCGGTTTTGGCGTAGTTTCTAGCATATAAGAAAGCAAAATTTACACTAATGTCTTTGAATATCGCTTCCTAGGAATAAGCTCTGCATGGTTTAAATTGGTTCAACTTCTGCCTTGCACGAGTTGCATTGATTACTAGCTCAACGTTGCCTATGCGGTCAACCAAAACATTTTCATGAGAGGAGTTCCTACCTTGTATGTAGATATATAAGCAGGCTTACCTAAAATGCAATTTGCGATGTCTTGTGTTCCGCGTTCGGCCGTGATATAACCAGACGGGCAGGACAGGCACTTAAACTGACCTTCCAGCGGCTGGTATGTGCCTTCAGGACACATTAAACATTGCGCAATTGTTTGGTTAATAATAAGGCCATAGTGCCCTGCAGGGCATATCACTGAAAATTAAAAAGGATGTAAAAAATTAATAGAGAGAACGGTTCGATTCGAAATGGAATTTAAAATATTTACGGAAACAGTTTAACAAAGTGACTCCAGAAATCAAATACAGTCAGGGGTTGTTGTAATAATATGCGGGCGCACGCGTGGATGACGAATCCAAGATGACTACCGAACTTGGGTTAAGAAAAAAATGGGACACTATACTACTCATAGCAATAGACACTTCCTGAATTTGTTCTCGGGCAATGAAAACCATCCCATACAAATTCGGGCAAGTGTCTACTCACATTGCATAATGTCATACCGTATTACTTGCTTGAGCGGTTTGAGCGCCGCGGCGCTCTTTAAACTTTTAGAACTTCAGATGCGGTACTTAATCGAGGGCGGCGCTCAATCGGGGGCGGCGTCCGATTGTAACAAGAACTTTAAACAAAAATAATTGAAATTTAGATGCAGCCAAATGCCCCCATTTTGACAGCGAGCATTTTGGCATAAATTCTTCGCACAGATCACTGGAATCTCTGCCTTCACGACTGCCCTGCACCTTACGAGAATTCTAAAGACCGATTTAATAATAGCGTCTTCAAGCGTCACGGTGCGTCGATTAAGCGCCGAATTTAAAGGGAGCGGCGCTCTTTGAGATAAAAACCCGCAAATGCGGCGCTCAATCGGGGGTGGTGCTCAATCGAGTAAATACGGTACATGTCAAGCGTAGCGGTGTAGCTAGTCAGACGGTTTAATTTTGCCAATTAATTAATCCAAATTTGAAATCATCGTAATTGTTCATTTCTTTAGAAATTTATTGTTTTCGCAATGAATAATTAGCATAACCAGGAATAGGTCTTCAATCGGGCTACGAGAAGAATCTGTTTTATTAATGGCATTTGAAATTATTTTAAATTACAGAACAGTCGAGTATTTTTGGATGCCAATTTATATTGGGTTGTTCATATGTTCTGACCAAAAAGACGTGTGGGCAAGGAAACGTTCGTGTCTAAACATGCAGCTCCCAAGATGTCAATAAATATGGCAGATATCACTGTTTGTTGTCTTACATTTCAATAACATCTGGAACCGGTTTGCCATTCATTGTACTTTTTATTTTGTCTCTTTTTTTAATGTTTGAACACTGCTCTGTAAGCCGAGCTTGTGGAAAACATTATACAAATTTAGTGAGAGAATATCAAAGACGGATGGAAAGGTAAGCCTTGTTCTCCTCACATATTTCTTACACTTCGACTTTGTGAACAAGTCGAAATAAACATGCGCATTTTATGCCTCGCACCATGACAGGCACGACTTGTACCTAAAACGTCTGCCGATGAAATGAACTTCTATTACCGGAGGCATGATATAAACCTTATCCTTTACATTTGTGTCAATAAGGTCTGTTAGGTCATGACCGGACTAAATTAGAGCCACCCAATTCAGGATGTAATTAGGAGTTGTTCATTGAAAAACGTCTTTTTGAAACAAAAGAATCACATGCTATTATTAGGGTGACTATACACGACTATTTTATGCTTCATTAAATCTCGGTAACCGGGCTCGTGCGAACAGCCCCTTAGTTAAACTTCCTTTCAATTTTCTTGTATCAAGAAATGGGGAAGAATGCGCAATGAAATGTGCTTGGGGTGAACCTAAAGATTTATGTTTCGACTCATTTTGTTTATACTTTCATATCGTGGAATACCTCACTAGCTAACGCCCTACCTGTGCAGTGTCCTGCGTCATAAGACCCTTCATGCTCAGTGGTGAATCCTTCGGAGCATTCCGTGCACGATGTTTGCCCAGAATGTGATTGGTATGAACCCAGAGCGCATGGAACACAACTTGCTTTTAAGTCTTTATCCAAATCGCCTTGATATCCAGCTGGGCAATCGGCTGTTAAATAAAAATGTAATAAATTCTGCGAAAATAGATGAGCTTGCAAGGTTTCTTTCGAGTTGGTCACGCATTCACAACTGTCTTATTATAGCTGTTGATTATACTAAAATATCATGAGGAAGTGCACCTTATATGCAGAAAACAGGCCTGTCATGAAAAGTATTTTAGTGCTCAAAGAAATTCATAGCAATCGCTTATTACAGATCTAATGCCAGGGATTACGTTATCAAACGGGGCTTACGATATCAAGTAATTTTTCTAAGCTTATACTTTGCTATACGCTGAATATTTATAACTCAATTCATTTTTGAGCGATTAAAAATTATTTTCATGCACAATTTGAACACTCAACCAGGCATGCAGCTAGTGTATTACGAATCATGATCATTCTGCTTGAATTTCTCCTCTATATTAACAAATATTATTAACAATTATTTTCGAATATGACAAATGAGAAACAACAGAGTGACTTCGAAGTTGCATGCAGTTGCTATTATAACAATGCAACTAAAGAAACGTTTAAAACAACAGATATAACTTAGTAGCTAAAAAAAGTCTGGCCTTAAATTTTTCTTACCACAACTAAAGTCTTCTTGAACAAGAGTTTGGCCTCGTGGACACAACAGCAAAACGTCCTGAACAGCTAAGGAATTTTCTTCAACAAAATACGTTTGGTTGTCCAACGAGAACGAAAGAGAACATTGTTGGTTGCATTAACCAACTCACTAATTGCACGTTTCATATCCAAAGTTGCGTTCATCACCCTCCAGGCATTAGTCGCGAGGCCTTCGCCAACACTCGTGTTTGTGGTGGTGTTTTCCCCTATGTAATGAAATTTCCACCAACATACCTCCAAATTTTGATCTGACCTATTACGAAAGGACGGTGGCATCCTGCAATCAATTGGGTGTAAATTTCTTAAGCGGTCTTCCGGAACCATCTTCCTGTGTAAGTATCCTGGCGACGAAAGCAGCTTGGAAATCAGTGAACTCATCGCGTCGTAAGTGTCGTTGCCTAGTTTTTCGGGCGATGTTGTGTTAACTCGGGAACTCTGTACGATAGACACCATTAGCGACGCAGCTGGTACTGGCAGGGTAAAGTGCAATGCCCTAACAAGGGCTATTGAAGATATGGTAAAGCCATAGCGATTAGAAACGTTGCAGAAATACCAACCTTCGTCAGTGGATCTCATCGAAAGAAAATTGAGGTAGGGGAAGGTTTCGTTCAACAACGGGGAGAAGTTGGAAGAGTTTAGAGATTTAAACCACCACTGATACGAGATATTTCTATTATTATTTTGAGCTTGACACTCAAGTGAATCATCACTGAACAAAACAACACCGAGGTACTCTGCGGGTTGTACAGCAATCACAGGGGGTGAAATGACGACGATTCTTGCAGGAATGGACGTTTCTTTGGCTATATGGTTCGACACCTCACATGTGTAGTTACCGCTGTGCGAAGCTGTTATATTTTCAATCGATAAAATGCCACTCGACTTATCTTGCAATATTTCAGTATTATATCTCCATCTGTAAGTCAGAGAACTACCTGTGGCATTGCAGGTCAGTTGGAGAGTTTCACCTTCGCCCAGCTCTACGAAGGCCTCCGGATGTTTCGTGATATTTGGTGCGAGTCCGCATATGCTGTTTCCACTCGTCAAGTTCTCGAGAATTTCCAAAATTTCTGATGAAAGTTCAACAGCGCTGTTAACTGACAAGTCGAGGTTTTGCGTCAGGCTTGTGATCTTCGTTTCAATATCCTTTATTTGGTCGCGAACATTTTGTGCTCCGGGAAGTTCAAGAGCCGAGTAGATATCGGATAAACTGTTTAGAATGTACAACAAACAATCGTCAAAGCCACTGCACTCTTTTGCTATTCTGGAGTCATTGAATAAATCCTCCATTGTAACAAACCAGTTATGGATTAGGAGCTTCGTGGCTACCTGAAGCGGTTCGTATCCATCGCGCGCAGCTTCCTGGTGAAGTTCCTCCGCTTCAGTCATTTCGGGATCCGCGTTGAGATCATTTACGTACGAGCCATTGTCTGTCGCCAATCCCATTTCCGTTGCGAGCGTCAAGTTGATGTTGAGGTTCGTTAACACATCAGTTACGTTGACATTGGCTGTAATCACCCTTTTCGACTTTTCAAGCAAGCTGCGCATTTCAGAAGATAGGTCGTACAGCGAACGCACTACGGCTTCCAGTGGTAGCTGGTGGTTCTGGAACTCAGCGCATAGCTTGTGGTAATCTTTCAGGGTTGACAACTTGTTCTCCAATTCTGAATTCCCAGTGTCTTCCACGGAGCGTTTTCTTCGTGAAACGCTGGAGAGATCTCCAACAAAATGACTTAGAATTTCTTTTGCGACACTTCTCATAGATGCATTAAGGTTAGAGAAGTCAAGAACAGTAAACATTTCCTTGTCAGTTTCGTTGATTTTGAACGTGATAAAGATCGGCAAGAGATTGCTTTGGTAACTTGCTGATACTTTTACCTTAAATCGTATTGTTTCCAACTTTACCTTAGCCACATGTGTAAGATGCTCATCAAGGATACTTCTTATCTGCAATGGTCTCGCTAAAAGTTTCAACTTCTTTTCTCGGGTTTCGACTGAAACATTATAAGCTTTCCGCAAGCTGTAAACAGCATTCCGTGACGTATTCAGCGAACGTCCTGCGGCTATAAACTTAATGTAATCCTTCCTTTTCTTCATAGTCCAGTACGAGACATTCTGTCTTGCGTTCTCTAAGCTCTTGAGGATTTGCACTGTCTTGGTTTTGGTCTTCGAGAACTGTTCCATTGCTGCCTCTCTCACTTTCTTACAGAGAACGTTTTCGGCAACACAAGTGAGGTTGACAATAAGCGAAGCACAAGGTACCGTCGAGCAACAGCTTTTTTCGATCGTCTTAGTTACCGTGTCTTTCTCACACGACTGCTTGCAGATGTAAGGTGTGTGCTCGTACTCATATTGGAATCTGTCCTTGTTACACTGGACTGCTACGACGTGACATTTCCAGTGTCCATCTCGCTGTTCCCTTTGGCACGATATTGCTTTGCTCACAACTTTACTGACTCCAGTTCTACCCAAAGCGATGGCGCCATGCTTGACTCCTTCACGCAAACTTGTTTTTGAATACTGCTGAAATACTTTTTTAACACCTGGGCCGCCAATAAAACTCGTAATCGCGCCCTTAGCCACCGAACATAAGGTCTCGTCAATGCGTCCGGTATCGAGCAATTGCACAATCCCACTTCCAAGAGCGGACGAGAGCGGCGGCGGAGCTCCCAAAAATGTGGCGAAAGCAGATATACCAAATGACACTACGCTTTTGAGTATACCACCGAATGTCTCTCCCAAAAGTCTTTTAAAAAGACCGTTTGTGCTGTGAATCCGTGTACACTTCTGGCTTTCACAAAGAACGATTTCAGTTAACGGAGGAAGTCTACGTTGTACCGTATTGAAACAGGTTGCCGGGCAAACTCCCATTGCTTTTCCGATTATATCTTGGTAGCACTTCGTGCAACTAACTCCCTCTTGGCAAATATCTGGACAATGTTTGACGGGACACAGCCTATCCAGTGCTGACTTTAATTCCTGCAACTCTTCAGAATTGTTATTTGCAGCACGTTCAAGGTAGGCCAACTCTTGTTTAGCCATCTTGAGTCCGCGACTGGCTACTTGGTATTCCTCACGAGCCCGCTGCGTAGTTTCAGATGCCAGTTTTTCAAAAGTCATAACCTTTTCCAGTCGACGTTTTGCTCTTTGTTCCGTTTCATTGATGGATCTTACCCTTTTCATCGCTTTTCTAAAGACACGTACGGCATATCGATCCATTTCGAGACTAAGAGAATGTTTTAGCCCAGTTTGTGTTAACCTGTCCTCAAAAACACCGTCAACAATGAATATTTGATTTTCCCATGTGGCTAAGCGTGACTCGCAACTCATGTTTGCGTCGAACAATCCGTGAATTTTACCATCAACGCGGAATGCCAAACCTTTCTCAAAGAAACTAACATTAACCCACTTTTCAAATCCAAGAATTTTTGTGACCGCTTGGAAAGAACCTAAAGAACTGGAATTCTTATTTCTGGCAATAGCAATTAGAAGATTGAGAGGTTTATTCCCTGAAACGCGAAAAATTCCAAATTTTGTTTTCCCTTTTTTGCCGTAATTATCACCTGTAAACACCGCACCAACAGTCTTCGTAGAGTTGGAGCAGCTTTTCATGGAGTTGGAGCAGCTTAAATCCCCAATGGATAACTCAATGTGCAGGTTTTCAAACCTAATAGGGCCATATTTTAGATTTCCGTTAAAAGACATACTGATTCCGTTACTTATTTCTTCGTACGAAGATTTATTTTCGTAGATCATAGCGTCAAGGAAATACGAGAATGTTTTGTTCGTGCCAATTTCGACGAAAGGGCTCAATTCTGTTCCAATAAAAGGGTTTTGTTTGATTTCGTTGGTAAAGAAAAGTCCCTGTAAATCATCGTCGGCCTTCTGGCTTTGGAAAATCTGCTTTTTTCCTAAATTCAACAAATAAAATTATGAATTGTTATTTGCGTTACATTCCACGTTTTATTTGCCCAGTTATTCCGTCAATCATTGTTTGAAATCACTTCGAATACATTTTTTCCCTTACCTCCAAACCTGGCATAACTAATGGACTCAGATGCTTCTAAAATCATATTCGTCACTTTGCCCTTTACTCTGAATTTCGATCCCACTGTGATTTTCCCGTACAGATCCAGCTTCCATTCCTTGCCAAAAGGAGAATCTGAAATCTGAAATGGAAACAGAAAAATACATCACTTATCTCAGTCTTTATTATTCTTCATGGAATTTCTGTTTTTCAACAGTTATTCTAACCGTGAAAACTAGAAATTACACGCACCCAAAGTAAAACACTAATATTTGAGTACATACATTATCTATGTCATCAAGGTCAGCTACGGCAGTTCCTTCGAACTCCAAACTTGAGTTGACGAAACCCACACTTCTGAGCTCTTTTTTAAGCGACAAAACTATGGCTAGGTTACCACGCTGGGAAGACTCGATATTGAAGAAACGTTTACTATTCCATAAAGTCCGTTTTCTAAGCATATCAATTGTTTTGCTCTTCGATATCTGCAAAGAGTAAAACTTTATATCCCAGCCATTTTCTTCCAACTTTCTAGTGAGTGACACGTCGCTTATTAAATTGCCATCTCTTAATGACGGTCGGAGGATGACGTTCCTTGGCAACGGACCGCATAGTTCCATAGCTATTGACAGTGGTGCTTTATTGTCACCTGATAGTAAAAGATCAACGTCATTATCCACAGAGAGGTTCAGGTTCTGAGAGTTTAAAAGCGAATAGTAAGTTCCGTCATCTATTGGTTGGCCTTCGCCAATGTAGGCAGTCCTCAAATTCTTTCCAGACACGTAATATGTCTGAAGTTCCGAGGGAGACCATGCTGTCGATACCGAATTGTTAGGTAGCGTAATCTGAAGCCATTTAGGGAGGCTGTTGCTAACTTTATTGAGAAACGTCTTTTCTAACAGACGCTCTGTAATTAACTGCTCGGTTGAGTAACTGACTTGATTGTCTTTATCGCAATCCTTTTGGCTTGAGATGTGACTGGACTTAATTAAGTTGGTTCCAAGTAACGACAGGGGTATGGTGGTAGCTCCAACCATTAAGTTGACCACGC